CTAGTCATCAAGTTAAACTGGAAAACTCAAGGATTCTAGCCCCTGAGAATACGAAGCAGGAATCGAATTACTGGAAGCATGACACAGTATGAAGAATCCAATCAATGGGCAAGTTGAGTTGACCGCCACGTGTGTAAGTCTACCAGCAAAGGCCCACCAACGTAAGCGAGTGGCCTTAATGGAACAGAACATCATGCAGGTAACGAGTAAAACAGTAACGGAATAACTAAGTTTGAACCGTTTCTATAACGGCGATTCCTCGTTGTCTACTAGAGCCGCACGCCTGTTCTGTGACAGACGAAGGGCAAAAAGAAGAAGGCTGTTAATTGTAACGTTTTAGGCCCGTACCAGCCCACACCATTACTGGTGACATCCTGGAACAAGGCTTTTGATTCACTAGTATAGGAATTTATATTGCAGCTAGCGGTGTTGGAGAGGAGAGCTCACAACGGATGGCGAAGGCCAGCCTTACATTCTTTAGATTAAAACACTTATGTCACCGTCGCGACGTTGGTCTCAAACTCAAAGGCAGGGTGTAATGTGCCCCTTGTTCGTGCGGTCCTCTTGTACGGCTGCGAGACGTGACCGAATCGCTCGGAAAACATGAAACTATTATCAGTTTTGACAATGGTTGCCTGCGTAGGGTTGCCCAATTGTGGTGGCAGCGTCATGTGGATAACAAAGAAACACGAGACCGAGTGCTGGGAACAAACACCTTATGCCTTCAAACCATTCGACACCGTATGTGTTGGCTCGGCAAAGTATTGGGCATGCCTGTCTCTCACTTACCTCATCGAGGGTTATTTGTGATCCCTGGAAGCGTCTGGAAATATTACCGCTGTGGACAGCTAATGATGTGGAGAAGGTGCAACAGGAAGGTAGCCTCAAGCTTATCATTCGTCGGACCAGTCCGTCTTCCAGTATCGGGATTACGTGAATCGGACGGCCAGTGTTTAGAAAAGCTGGAAGTTATGATGGGCAACAGACAGCAGTGGTGACAGTGTTGTTCAAACGCCGATGGGAGAACTTGCCAGCCGGAAATCCTCCACTAACGCGCAGCATTTCATCCTTCACGATTGCTTTCAAAAGTAGGTGTTGTCACCGAGTCTGTACTAGGGCTTCCGAGAAACCATCCTATGGCTTGGAAGATGACAGAACAACATGGACGACGAATGCTGCGTCTACTGTTCAGAGATGCACACCAACGGGAGCTTACATAGCAAATGGTGCTTGATCAACAGTGAGCAATATGCTGTACCAAGCTAAGATCGGAATCGAACAAATAATTGGAAAAAGCGCTAATTATTAAAACACAAAAGACGAAATTTAATACTAAACGTAGGCTTAAAGAGAAGCTAAGATTTAGTTTCGCAGCAGAAGGCAACTAGGGAAGCAGAGGTGTGGATTACGATCCTATGCAAGAGAGGTTAATCGAACGCTGGAAAGCGTTCATTGTCCGAGGTACACAGCTCAATAGCAAGGACGCCAATGCCATCGTTTCCTCGCTACACTAGACTAAAGGAAAAAATCATACACTGCACTTGAAGCACAACGAGAGATCAGACACGATCATTCAGGCTCTCAGTCACAAATTTGAAACCAACATATTCAGCGGCACAGAACGAAAAGTTCTGACAGGTTTCATAAAAGACAAAAGCACAAAGGATGCCTGACGTTTCTAATGAACAAAACCGATTACATGATGAAGGCACAACTTCTGCTCAATGATACCAACACATACCAACCGCTAAACAAAGATACGACAAAAGCCTTGGAAGGCAACATCAAGCGCACTCTGCTAAAACTAGAACACATGAGGTGGATCATAAATTTGGAACACAAAATGCTGAAACCGCAAGATTCGATCCTGCAACGATTGCGCGATCTACCACGGCTACACAAAAGCGGAGTGCCTCTCCGTCCACTCGCTAGTTGAAGCACCGCACTACAGAATTGCAAAATAACTCTGGAGACTGCTACAACATATAGTTGCAGGACCAGAAAACTCAATCAACTTGGCAGAACAGTCACTAGAAAAACTCAAAACTACAACCATAGTACGAGACGAAATAATGGTCTTTCGATATGAAGCCGCTCTTCTCATCGATTGACATCAAGTAGGAGACACACACACAATGGCTGCTTTATTGGAGGGACATGTAGCTTGAGATAGAGGTAGTAAAAACAATGCCGGACAAATGATAGATATGATGTGATTCCGTTTAACAACACTTTTACTTTTCAACGACCAAATATACCAGCAGATAAGAGACACAAAATGGGATCGTCGATATTTGGACTGTTAGCGAAAGCAGTGATGCAGACGCTAGAACAGACAGCACTACCAATTGCGAAACCAAAAATTTGGATGCTCTACGTAGACGACACCTTAATCAACCCAAACTCGCCGAATTAGAAGACAGTTGAGTTAATCAACAAAGTGTTTGCTGGCATCCACTTCACGAGGGGAGAGGAGAACGAAGGGCAGCTGCCATTTTTATACGTTCTCATAGGACTGATACTTAACCACTGGCAACGACGGCCTATCGCAAATCAGAAACTGTAATCCTCCGGCACTCCACAATCGCAGATGAGCACTAACACCTTTCAGACGAATATGGACACATTGTAGCACGCAGCAGCTAAGGCAGCCGGAGGAAGATAATGTGCGCAGCCTGTTCAAACGGTATTCCTCCCGAAAGGGTTTATTCTGCGCCTCTTGCTCCCACATAAAGCAACAAAACACACCATAAAAATGCAGGAGCTAAAATCCGAGCCACATTGCCTTACGTCGACTGACTCTCCGAAATGGGCAGCGAGACTTTGTTGCTTTGGGAATCATAATTGCTCATCAACCAACAGAAACCATTAGAAATAAACACTTCAAAGTTAAAGATAAACTTTGCAAGTGGGAAACATCTGATGTAATCTACAAGGTCAGCCAACGGGATTGTGAAATGTACTATGTAGGTCGAGCAAGAAAAAAATCTTCTCCCACGGCAACATGAACATTATCTAACTATCTACCTTCATGAAAAGAACTTCCATATCCGTGCATATGGGTGCCAAAGGCCACTAGCTAGAACTGGAGCACGTCCAAATCCCCGGAAGCGCAACAAGCCGTTAAACAAGTGAGTTTATTAAAAAGGACTCGGTCAATAAGAATTTAGATCTCGAATTTGCTTTCGATGCACTGCGAAACAGTACTTTAATGCCGCACTGGCGATGTCGCTCAGTCTGAGAGCGAAACGTGCGCAATATTTGTAAATAATAGGGGAATGAAATGAGTCTTGTAAAGATTCGTCGCAGATAGACTCAGACAGACAGCTACCACACATCCATAAAAGCTCTAGACAGCTGTTTCGTCCCATTGGGACTCATCAGTAGTGCGCACCCTTCGAAGTCTGCCTGATCCGAACATCCAAGGTTACTCTTGCGAGCCAGCGACTTATGCGAATGAGCCATGGGTGACGGCGTCTGATCGCCATGAGTGGTCTCTAACTGTGATATAGTGCGGCTCATCCTCCACTGTTCTGCATGTTATGAATAAGCGGAAGACAGGGCTGGCCCCCAGAGCAACGACTTGCAAGGCACAGCAAATCGAGGTTGGTATGTACTTTGCTGTGACAACTGATTATTTGAAGGCAGTAAGAAAATTTACTGGGATGTGTGAAGATCCGTCGCAGTTTTACTCATGGAAACAGACAGCTAATTGGAAGAAACGGCAGTCAACCGATTTTCTAGATGTGTGGTGGCTGTCTGCGGAGTCTAAGTGCGACGAATCTACACAAAGTCTGCAAAATAACTATTCGGCTCGGTGAGCAAATCAAAACTCCCATCCATGTTGCAAACTACATACAGTCTCAACTATTCTACTGCACCATTACTTAGCTTCAGTCTAATCGAACATAAAAGTACGACGCACAATAGTCTCCAAATAGTGTATGCACAACCCAAAAATTGTTTTTCCGCTGGTGTTGCTTCTCCCATCGATATATATAAATATATATATATATATATATCGTGTGAACGTATGGTGCTCTGAGGCTTGTGGTGGATAGATCCTGACAGATGGTCCCCCAACTGCTCTTATTGTTGTGCCGTGGGTTCATGTCCTCGACGCCTCCGCTTCGCCACCGCTGGATGGGTGTTGGGTTACGCCCTTCTCTGTGCTAAGATGCAGGATATACCAATCCGCAAGAGTCACTTAAATGACCATTTGTTGTTGCCGCTTATAAGAAACCTGGCTTTCTCTAGCAGACCATATTTGTGATTTGCTTATAGACTTCACAAGCTACGGAGCACGTGCTAATAAAAATAACCTAGCTGTTTCAATGGATAGCTTTCGTGAAGGCACGTACTGCTCATTTCACTTCCTTGTGTGGCGTGTATTCGTTCATTTCAAGTGACCTTGGCGAGCAATTAAGCGGTCATCTCTTTTCAAAGGCAACCCGTAACTAACGGACTGGCGGGAAACAGTTTTAAGTATTAGTTCTGGGAATCAGCGAGCGTTGGGTGATGGATATATAACTAATACTTAGGCACAAACAAAATAACTCCTAATAACTGGTTAGTTAATGTAAAAGCAACACTAAAACGTGTGACAAAAAGAAAAGTCGTAAATAAAGGTTAATCTAACGTTAAAAGAACATTATAGGGAAAGTTGTGACCATATTCATAAGCTAGTTTAGACGTAAACATCGGTTGGCATATTATTATATGACTAAAAATTTATACTTGAATAAAGCAATAAAAGTTAAACAAAGTACGTATCTCTGCCGAGACGAGAGTTAAATACTTTAAATAAATGAACGTTCACACAGGAGGAACATATATTTGCAAACATAAAGCAAGTATAATAAAAAAAATAATTTAAAATATGTAAATACACATATTAAAAATATTTAAAAGCTAAGACATTAGGCCAGATTCAAGCAGTTTGTACTTTGATTTCTTTTTCATTACATAATGCTTCATTTACCTCAGACATTAATTGCTGTACCAAACCGCACAGCGTATTTTCGGCCTATTTAGTCCGTTAGTTACGTACTTCGCTTTGCGAAAATCGGCTGCGCCTGTTTCTCTGCTTGTGCTCACAGGTTATTTGGCCGGAAAGTAGGATAGGCTGCTTGGACACTAGTATGAGCTCCTACAGTCCTGTTCGTAGCGAACGGCGACAATCGTCTTTCTTCTTGGGGTTACTCATCCTATCGCAGGTAGTTATTTGAATTTATACATTCCTTCTTAGATCTTAGGTGTAGCGTGCATCATCTTGACATGCGTTTGGCTGGGAGTCTATTACAAGGGATTCAGTTGGACAAACTCCCAAACAATTTTTAACTACCATCCACTTTTCATGGTCCTTGGCATGTTGTTTCTATATGGTGATGGTAAGTCTAATCTCCATTTTCTTTCCACACCGAGAAATCTTCATTTCTTACCATTCATACGGAGAAGCACTTTCCGCTCTGTGCGAGTGATCGATTCATGTGCACCCTAGTGACTGCTGGCGCGCTCTGAGTGACCGACTTGTGTACCCGTGCCACCACAATGGACAGGTTATTGCCATTCAACAGTCACTGCATAAAATTTAGTACTTTCCTCACCAGCGACTACCTTCCACACTCAGTAGAAATCTATTCCTAAAGCGTCTTGACACAGTACGGACTACATTAAGCCACACACAGTTTTTAAGTGACCGATGGTTAATCAAAGTGAGCTCCACTGACTGCCAGTGGCACAGACCCGGTCAATCAGCACACTATCGGTTATTCGCGCTGATGGGACTTGCGATTTTCCTAAAATCTACTATAGCTTTAGGCCGGTGGATTTAATGATGGATTATTATATTCGACGCAGTATTTAAACATTATCTCCTTATTTTTATGGTTTCATATTTTGCGGGCAACGGAGAACACACCAAAACGAAACGGCTTTTCGTCCGGCTACGCAGATGGCGACTCTCCCTCTGTTGACGCTAGCGCCCCCTGTTCGTCTGATGCGCCCCCAATTTTTATTGTTGTCCATCTTGTAGACTTTCGAAATGACGCCGGGTGGGACATTTGTACTAAATTAGAAATGCTTTATGAGTAAACTAAACCGTAAACACGGGACTGCGCAGGGTCTACACACCTTCATCTTTCTTTTATACTCTACTGAAATCCAGATTACATGTTCGCCTCAGAATCATTAAAATATATAGAGCAGAAGAGAGCACCTTTGTTAGCTCCGGCACCTCCCAGTCCTAGCAGATTGTTGCGCTACAGCAATCAACAGGTTAGGTTGTCACAGTTGCATAAGAAACAACAAGATCCCTACAAATTCTATACGTATAAATCCAACAGTCCTTTAAAACAATCCTCAGTATGCGCGTTAACGATGTAATCAGGTAAGGAGTTCCAGTCGTTCACTGCACGAGTCGATCGGGTAAACTCAGAACGAAGCCTAGGTTTAAACAGTTTCCAGCCTTGGCCCCGCGTCGAACACTCAGTGTTTATCTAGGAGAAACCTTGGAGCTCGATTCGCATCTCATCCCGCAGAATGCGCCGGAAAGTAGATTAGATCACCACGGATGCGACGATATTCCAGATAAAACATATTCAGCTGCTGGCGACGAATGTGATTAGCAGGTGTCGTAGCTCAAAAATGCACTTAGAACCGCGCCGCTGTACTTTCTCAAGTTCAAATTCGGGTGTGACTGGAACGATAGGAGAATCCTGTGAGTGTTCCATCTTGAGTGGATCGTTGAGCCAGGAATTGATGAAGTGCTCAGTCATTGCTGGATCTAAAACGGAACACCCGTATCGCACCCTGGCCAACCAGTTAATACCCGCGTTTCCTGCCGTAGCAGTCCCTGCTGTGGCAGTCACGTGAAGTAAGCAAGGGATAGGAAGAGAACTCGAAGATACAGAATAAGCAAGTGCACTTGAAACAAAAAAATAATGCCAATGCGTGAAGAGAAGTAAGGAAATGAAAATCTAAGTACGAAGATGCTAGTTACTCAGGAAATGAAAAGGTTTAGTGTTGCCACCCAAGAGCGTCAAGTTACGACTGAAACCCCTTAACCGTAGATTCCCTGATAACACTCCGCAAGCATGTTCCAGCGCTCGATGACTCTTTGTGACAGCCGGATTTCCGCCCTAATCCGATCGGACCGAGGTTTGTCATCTTCAGACTTGGTAACCGGATAAATTGCTGAAAATCCATGTTCAAGGATTGGATGCACATGGGAGGAAAACAAATTTGGAAATCTCCGGAGTCAATCGGGATAAAGCTCTTCGGATAGGGCATTTTAGTCTGTTGGTCCCAACAGCCCTCCTCAAAGTATCTTCGGTACTTTTTAGATCAAAGGTCACTTTCCTGTTTCACATTAATAAGCAGACTACCGCCAATGTGTTAGACACCGAATGGTTCATTAGCTCCAATATGGTGAGCAGAATATTCATCGCGATTTAAAGGTAACTGCCATTTAATTGACTAATCTTGGAGCAAGTCAGGTGTAGTTTGGAGTTGGTCGGCATCCTCAGAGCTGGAATCCTCCATCCATAGCTTCAGATCATCAGCATAGATCACACATAGTCCAGAGAGTTGGAGGAAGGTCGTTACTAAAGCATTTGAACAACTCTGGTCTCATTGACCTTAACTCGCATAACATGGTCTGAAAGGAAATCGGAAATCCACGAGTGTACCCTCCCAGAGACACCAATTCCTTGAAGTTTAAATGAATGCTGCTCATGCGGAATTTTGTCAAACACTTTATTGAAATCAACAAAGATGACGTCCATACTTTTGTCCGAATCGAGTGAGTTCGCTTATTTCTCTCTGACAACAAGCAAATTGGTGGTACATGAGCTTGCCTTACGGAAGCCGTGCTGAGCAGAAGAAATTACACTCCGGTCCTCGAAGTAAAGATTGTGAGCCTTCTTGAGAATCCGTTCCATAACTTTACACTTAAAAATGTCAAACAAATGGGACGATAGTTTGCTGGGTCTTGGTGATTCCCTCCTTTATATATGGGTTGTACAATGCTCAGCTTTCAGGCTTATGGAAGGCTTCCCGCTTCAATAGAACAGTAGAACATGACAAGCAGGTGCCGCAGTGTACTCGCTCTTGTGAAACAGTGGGTGCAGACCATCAGGATCGGGTGAGGTGTTCGGATCGAACTGGAGAAGAAACAGGGTAACAGCTTCCGTACTGATCTCAATATTATCCAGCAAAAATGAACACGAAAATGCGACGTCGGAAAATGAAGTCTCCTTTGATCAAACCGATGGATACTGTTGAGCTAAAATATTCGCTTTCTCGGCATCTTCATGAAGTAAGACAGCGTGTTTACTGGAATACAGAGATGGAATGCCATGACTGCGTTTGGTGCCCGTTTTCAGGTATGGGAAGACAATTTCGGGGGAGCACTTAGACCTTACGACTAAATGAAGCTCGAAATTTCGGCGATTCTTTCGCCTCTTCAGGATACAAAGGTTCCTAAACGTTTTATATTTCAAGTAGTCGGCTGTCCATTGTATACACTTGTATTGCTCCCATAATTTGCGTCTTTTTTCATCGGATACCTCTGCTGTTTCTCCATCCAAGGATGACCACTTATTTTGTAAATGGAAACGACGTTTGTCTATCGGCACCATTTTAGAGTACAAGTGAGTCCATGCATCGTCAAGGTTTCAAAGATGAAGAATGGTCCAGTCCGTGTTAGAAACAGCCTCCTGCAGACGCTGCGCATCGGCTCGCCAAAAATTGCACCGAAAGCGTTTTGATCATGAGTGGGAAGTCGACGTGCCCATTGGAAAGGAATAGCACAGTGATCACCCTTACCAATAGTACTATATTTCATTTATTCACAATTTTGAAAACAGGCAAATGTGTCATCAGAACCATAGTTGTCATGTTCTCAAAGAAAATGATAGTTCAAGAAACAACGGAAAGCGGCTTTTTTCCTTTTTGTTTTTATTTCACATACCGTTTTGCTTTTTTATTTGTTTTAAATTGTAATGTGGATGAAAGTGAAATTTTTGAACAACATTGACGCCACTAATTTTGGTTACGAGCCATAACCTCTGAAACTTCCCGTCATTTGGAGTCCCCATCAGGGGGTCCCCAGCCTGGAAGACGGGCAGATCCTGATGAAGCCAGACATGCGGTGACATTCTAACATCCTCGGTTGTCCATCCTGGCATTTTCTCCACTCACGCCCAGGAATTGCAAATAATGCTCGACGAGGAAGTCAATTAGTTGGCATACACAAAGTGTGACCTTACCAATAGGTTACTCAAAAACCAGGTCAGGGACATCTGAGGGCATCAGGAAGAGCACTAGATCAAGAATGTGCGGCACATCAGCGGACAAACATACGAACCGTTCTTCGATGTCACTGCCCGGGTAGGACAAGGATTGGTCTCCAGCGATTTCACGGGGTTTTCCGAACCACTCGAGAATCCGTTTCACCATTTGTCCGGTGGGTTCGGAGTTCATCAGCTGCACTCTTCAATTTTACCCGCTCCTCAGAGGACAAATCCCTCAGCACATAAAGTGATTCTCCTTTAATGCGTGAGGTGCGTCGGAGGATGCGACTGCACTCATCTTCCTTTTGGCTTACAATCTTGAGATGATGAGACTTTGTAGAGTTCTCCTGCTTCCTGCTAATGCGGAAAACAGCAACACAATTTACACCTAGTTCACCCTCATCAGACAGCAGTGAAACCATCCGTTTTAGAAATGCTTCATCGTCTAGGGTCCTTTCAGCTTGCGTAGCTTTTGAAGACTCCTGCACATTTACGACTATAAGGCAGCGGTCATGAGATGGGCGATAGGAGTTCCTAGACGCCTGCTGCTTATGAGAAATAGATTTATCCTTGATCAAATTCTTAAATTGAGTGACTCTATTAAGGACTTGCTTTATCTCCAATTGCGAAGAGGGCTTAAGTTTAACGCTAGACCTTGCTTTGGGCTTCGTTTCTCGCATGTCTGAGTTATGGTTGCTCGACGGCGCCGCGACGTTTTGCACCACTTTAGAGGGTTGCCTGTACCGGGAGCCCAGAGAGCGATTCGAGAAGACGGATCGAGTTGCAGGGAAACTTTTATTGGTACAGTAAAAGATTCCCTGTTATCTAGCTATAAAAGAGCGACACCGTGGATGCTCTAGCTAGGGGAACGGATCAAGCACAGCACACAGGGCAGTTGCGCGTTGCAACCGAAACGAGCGCCAAGCAAAAATGGCGATGAGCAAGTAAAGCATTCGAACTCAGCAAGCAGCTCAACAAACCACACCGATTGCCTAGGTGTACAATTAAAGAATTTTGGTTAGAATTTTACACAGGCAAACCGGGGAATCTCCAGACTGCTACACCACAGGTGCATAGGTCTTGGCCGGAGGCTCGAC